CTTGGTATTAACATATATATGTCATGATCTCTACTTTTTTTAAAGGGATAGGTTTCGTAAAGCTTCCAGAACCAGAACATCCCTTTCTACTGTAAGACGTGCATTGTGTGTACTCCGAGAGTGAAAATGTGCTTTTGTGTCGTTAACGAATTAGAAGTCCATGCACGTGTAATAATGCTCCACGCATGTGTAATGATACTTCATGCACGTGTAATAATTTTTCATGCACGAACACCACGTTAATCATGTGTACTTTGCATACGGGCCACCACCTTTTGGATGACGTTGAGTTCATTGTGTGAATATTTTACCTAAATTAAACATCGAATATGTGATTCACACATTACCAAAAGACAAAAGACATAATATGATTTGCATTATTTTTCTATTGTTGTTGTTGCCATTCAGCATGGAAACTATCATCTTGTAGGTAAACTTGCTGTTGTGGCATGTGTTTTAGATGGTCCATGTCGTGACACGCATTTAGAGCTGTCACTTTCATATGTGCAACTTTCGTATCCATCACTTTCATATGTGCCATTTTCGTATGCATTACTTTCATATGTGCCACTTTCGTATGTATCACTTTCATGTCCACCTCTTACGTATGCATCACTTTCATATGTGCCACTTTCGTATGTATTACTTTCATGTCCACCTCTTTCGTATGCATCACTTTCATATGTGCCACTTTCGCATGCATCACTTTCATATATGCCACTTTCGTATGCATCACTTTCATATATGCCACTTTCGTATGTGTCACTTTCGTATGCATCACTTTCATAGCTACCACTTTCGTATGCATCACTTTCATATATGCCACTTTCGTATGCATCACTTTCAATATGCCACTTTCGTATGTGTCACTTTCGTATGCATCACTTTCATATATGCCACTTTCGTATGTGTTACCTTCGTAAGCATCACTTTCATATATACCACTTTCGTATGTGTCACTTTCGTATATGCATCGCTTTCATATATGCCACTTTCGTATGTGTCACTTTCGTATGCATCACTTTGGTATGTGTCACTTTCGAATGTCTCATTTTTTATTCGATTTTGGCTAAGCTCTCACAACTTAGAAATTGAACGTGGGCGACGTTTTAATATTCCTCGTAAATGTAGAATTTGAAGAAGATTGTAACCTAAGCCATATAGAAAATGGATATCTTGAAACGAACCTTAGGTGACCGAGAATGGATACATATCATACATGCCTTACATAGCGTGTTTTAAGTCATATATGTAGAAGCGCGACTGTTACATGTCAACATAATGTTTTCGCTAAAATATCGCAAGGGCGCGTGAAATCTCAACGGTGACCTGTCAAACTGTTCCGTACGTATGGTTGTTATCATTTGAATAATAGTAAAAGCTACAACTACAATATCACAAAATCCGAACATTATTCAAGATGAAGGATAGTTTCAGATACAATTTCTTACGATCACACATCAAAAACCCTTTATCTTATATCAGTGGGTATGTTTTAACTGAATCCCCGGTGGATCATAGAGAAAATGTGAGTACATTTGACTGTTATTTCAGGCTTTGTTTAGGACAAACTACAAGCGGTAATCTTCAGCTCCGCGTGTAAAACAATGCCTAGGAGAACTGGAAATACAATTTAAATGACAAATGGTAGTTTAACTTTAATCTAGATTACAGCCACTGTACATACCACAAACTGGAGGTCACGAAAGTATAATCTAGATTACAGCCACTGTACATACCACAAACTGGAGGTCACGAAAGTATAATCTAGATTACAGCCACTGTACATACCACAAACTGGAGGTCACGAAAGTATAATCTAGATTACAGCCACTGTACATACCACAAAGTGGAGGTCACGAAAGTATAATCTAGATTACAGCCACTGTACATACCACAAACTGGAGGTCACGAAAGTATAATCTAGATTACAGCCACTGTACATACCACAAAGTGGAGGTCACGAAAGTATAATCTAGATTACAGCCACTGTACATACCACAAAGTGGAGGTCACGAAAGTATAATCTAGATTACAGCCACTGTACATACCACAAAGTGGAGGTCACGAAAGTATAATCTAGATTACAGCCACTGTACATACCACAAAGTGGAGGTCACGAAAGTATAATCTAGATTACAGCCACTGTACATACCACAAAGTGGAGGTCACGAAAGTATAATGGCAACACCCAAGAAGCAGATCATTGACAGAAACAAAATACACTTTTATCACGTGACCTCAATTATATGGTGAGTGAGTGAGTGAGTGAGTGACTGTGGTTTTACGCCGCTTTTAGCAATATTCCAGCAATATCACGGCGGGGGACACAAGAAATGGGCTTCTCACATTGTACCCATGTCGGGAATCGAACCCGGGTCTTCGGCGTGACGAGCGAACGCTTTAACCACTAGGCTACCAGACCGCCCCTCAATTATATGGACAACAACTGGACACGTGACGTGATTCAAGCGGCTGGCCAATCACTGTTTGGAGTTGTGAGTACCATTTAGCTGAGATCAATTTAAAACAATTAGGAATTCCAAATGTCCATTCATTTTCGTCTGTAAACTCTGATGTGTTTCTTATATTTGTGTGATGTAATGATATTAGCAGACAAAAGGCACTGCGTGCAAAACACGCATACAAATGTCTTGTGCGTGTTTTGTCGATTTATGCGTGAAACACGCACGTTTCTGCGTTAAAGCGAATCCTGACCCGTGATTTTGATCCCTACATTGTGTCAAACTATATACTGGTCAGAGGCTGGTGCTGATAAATGAGTCTGTCTGTCTGTCTGTCTGTCTGTCTCTCTGTCTGTCTGTCTATCTCTCTGTCTGTCTGTCTATCTGTCTGTCTGTCTGTCTGTCTATCTGTCTGTCTGTCTGCCTGTCTATCTCTCTGTCTGTCTGTCTGTCTGTCTGTCTGTCTGTCTACATATATTCAGCCACTGAAAAGTATACCTCGCGAGTACCTTGAATTCAGTATAACAATTTCGTCCCATCACCTTTGCAGCCGTGCCATCTGCTTCGCTCAGTGGCGCACCCTTGAGTGGAAAGCACAGCTTCAGCACCGTTCCAGCATTTTACTTTAATGATACATTGATGCTATTTTGCACCAAATCATGTTCAACCTTAAACGTTTTCGCGAACACCTAGTGTCATCACAAAGATTCAGTGATAGTTTTCAACACTCTTTTGCCTTTTACGCAAATCGGCACATGAGTACCACTGATTGTACTTTTGCATTGGCGTTTAATTAATGTTGTTCTAATCAATTTAAATTTAATTAAAGTCAGGATAATAATATGCGTTCACTTTTATTATCCTGTGTCTATTGTACAGATGCTAGCTGGCGACGACAACTCTGTGTCAGACCATCCATGTGATTTTGTGTGTTTCTAATTTTCATGCCCAACTCAAGATGAAGTCGGCTTGCGGAAGCAAATTTATCCGACTGCGCACAAACCGTTCTCAAGTTGATCGATACGGTGATATTATCACGTATGACGATTCGTGTATCGCTGCAGGGTGTTTAAAGCCGTCAAAGTGCAGGCGTTATACGACAAGAAAAGACACCAAACAATAGGCAAGATCACTGCTCTTCTTCGAACATTCAATAAACTACAATGCCGTGTTTTATGAAAAGTAAAATTCTTTTTTTTCTTCAGGGTGAGATGACATTTAAGCAAGCATTCGATTGGGTGAATATGACACTTATCTTTCTGAAACGACATCGTATGTTGGTCATATAAATCATCAGATCGTGTTAAATGTATGCAATGTTTTGAATGTAAACATTGAGATGTATTTTTTCCATAACGACTTTCCGATTTTATCCAAATTTGGTGCAATTCCATTTATTTAATAGAGGTTGTCAAATAACTTTGGATCTTACACGTGTGTCAAATGTCCCGTGGTTTGGCAGCCATATCGTTGGTTGGTTGGTTTGTTGTTTAGCGCCGCACTCAGCAATATTCTAGCTATATGACGGCGGTCTGTAAATTATTGAGCCTGGACCAGACAATCCAGTGATTAATATCATGAAGATCTAACCGCACAATTGGGATAGATGACATGCATCAAGCAAGTCAGCGAGTCTGACCATCCTTTCCCGTTAGTCGCCTCTTACGACAAGCATAGTCGCCTTTACGGCACGCATGGGTTGCTGAAAACATATTCTACCCTGGATCTTCACGGGTCTGCAGCCATATCGAATAGAAGGCTTGCTTTTGGTATGCAATCAAAGTGTACTTGGCCGAGAAAGTCTTATAAAAATGGACAAAACACAAAGCAAAAGGCATTATTCTTACCTTTCAGGAATATTCTATAAAATGTCGCGCCGATTTTGTATGATTTTGCATTTTAATTTTTTTTTAATACCGTCGGGAGATGAGAAACACTATATCATTTAGATGGCCTGACACTAATCTCCACTAATCATAGGCAAAGTCTAAATAAACTTATATATAACATTAAGGCGATAGAAGAAGAGAATTTGAATCAGGTGTCTTATGCGCAGCATCTAGAAGGATGGATGGAGGAGGGTTTGTTTTGTAAATATTCACTTTATTTTTTCAAGGAACCTCGATATGTTTGCCCTCATGGGTCATAAATACTTGTTATACCCCAACTCGATCAGATAGAATCTGACCGGATGAGGCATAATTTAAGTAGTTTCCAAAAAATCCCTAACGTTGCCGAGCAAAATTATCACTGATCCCCGCTTCAGTTGGTGGTATAAGTATTCCATCTTACCCTGCCTGGCGATTAGATAGAATCGGCACAAAGATCTAAAACAAGGACTGGTCGGCTCGGAGTCAGTACGCTGTGTCTGAGTGTTTAAGTTCAAGAGGGATTTAGTGGGGTATTCATGTTAACTGCAGCATGTTTGTTTTAGTGGGCTTGCACGAAATAGACGACATTAGTCCGAGCTAGTACAAGTTCTCACCTCACCTCTGTCACATTACACAAGACACTTGGTAATGTCAATTGGTTTATTTAAGTTTGCCTGCAACCAACGCCACAGACGTCACGTGCCCTCCATTACCTGCAAATGTCATGGCAACGGTGTTTGATGACCGGACATGACCTTCCGGTACCCAGAATTCCCACATCTGCCATTGTGTCTTAGCTTCGTCTTCATCAGCGTCATACAGCATGAATGTGGATGGCAGCTTGTACCCGTTGAACATGATGCTGAGGGGTTTGCCATTGGTGTTCTTGGTCCGACTCACTCCAACTCTCAACAACGCGGAATTGTAGCCAGAGCTTGGCACACTGATGGTAGTCTCAGCATGGCCGTTGCTGATGGGGATTATCATCTCCTTACCGTAGTAGGTGTTTTCATTGTTGGTACGCATGCTTCCAAAGTTGTAGCTTGTTTTAAACTTGTATAAGCAGGTAGACTCCCCAGGGAGACTAACCTTGCCGCTGGTGGAAAAGTGTACGTTAGAGTGCATTGCAGGGTTACCGTTCTCGTACTGAATACACGTCGATTCGCCAGAGGTAGGATTAATCCACCCGTTCTTAAAGTCCAGCTTGACATTCTGTGTTGAGGTGCCGTAGTTGTGGAGAAGAATCGACATCTCTTTGTTGTTTGGGTCCGCTAGAGCCAGAGAGGCAACTAACCTCTCCCATCCGGAGTATTCGCTGGTTACCCTAAGGAACTTCTGATTATTATACAAATATTTCCAGAACTTGAAGAATTTGGTCATTTGAGTCTCTTGACCATTCCCTGTAAACAAGGACCAGTTGAGGCTGGTGTGTCCGGGGTATTGTTCATTGGACAACATATACAATGGCCCTGTCTATAAACTCTCTGAGGTTAAGGTAGGTGAACATATGACCGTTGGGTTGGTATATAGTTGCAAAGTCTATCAAACCACTAGGGGACCACTGATCCATTCCCATAACTCGATCCCTTCCAAACTCACTGATGATGATAGGAACGTTTTTACCCTTCTTGATATGTGAATAATTTTCTATCATATCAATAGCAGCAACTAGTCGGGCTTCGTTGAACCCGGTGAAGCGGTGACTGCCACCCGAAACACGCAGATCATTGTAGGCATGGAAGGAAAAGAAGTCCAAATGATCCAAAGACATGTCTAGAAATCCGGCTGCTTTCTTCCACAAGCGGAAATTGTCCATATCGCCCATTTCCAGGCTGTATCCAGAATATGTGGGCCCACCAACCTTCATTCCAAAGCGTGACTTCAGCTTTTGGGCGACAATTCGATGGAAGTCAACAACAGTCTGGTCAGACAGGAACTGCCAGTGAGCGTTGGGTTCGTTGATGACTTCAAATATATTGGGGATGTGGCCACCTGTATAGTCCTTGGCACTCTGAACCATAAGCGACACAAACTCTGCTGCAGCGTCAAGGTTGTTGGGGAACTGCCCTTGGTGTTGAGACGTGTCCAACCATTTCGGCCAGTGCGTACCTTGTTGAAACATTAGTCCAACAACATTGTAAAGATTTGCTATATTTGTTTCATTTGTCTTATATTAATACCCATCAGTTGGTTGGTTGGTTGGTGGGTTTGCTGTTTACGCCGCACTCGGCAATATTCCCGCTATATGACGGCGGTCTGGTAATAATCGAGTCTGGACCAGACAACCCAGTGATTAACATCATGAGCATCGATCCACGCAATTGGGATCGATGACATGCATCAACCAAGTCAGCTAGCCTAACACCCGATCCCGTTAGTCGCCTTTTACGACAAGCATAGTCACCTTTTACGGCAAGCATAGTCACCTTTTACGGCAAACATGGGTTGCTGAAGACCTATTCTACCCCGGAATCTTAACGGGTCCATACCTATCAGTAGTATCAGACTTTGTTATTGGGTTAGAAAAATATAATGATTTTTTTCCAATGATTGAGATGGGTTGTGTTTTGTTTTAAATGGTAGACAAAACTTCTTTTTAGTTTGCTTGTGTGTGAAACAATCATTGATATATGCTTTTAGTTTGTCAACCACAAGAGTAAACATCTACGACCTGTGACATATTAAGGTATATCAATAATACTGAGAACAAATATTTTTTCGAAGCAGCCTTGGCTTCAAATACATTGGTACTTCACATATCAGGATGGCCAAAACCTGCAAGGAAGCAAGTTAATGTATGTCATCTACTTGCAGACAACCACGCCCCTAATATGATGGATACAAACAAAAACATGACTAATGTGCCGATTAAGTTTCCAACTTACCACTAATTTCCCAGACCAAGTTATCAATATCGCTGCCGTACCCATTCCGTTGTCCCATGTATGTTTTCCATATCTTTGATTGCAATGCATGGTCCTGGGCGTAGTTCGGATTTGGGTAGCCATGGTGACTTGGATTCTCGGACCACTAGTTAACGTGAAAGTAAATAAAGTCTTAAAAGTCCTTAATTTACAATATTTAATATTTAACATTGATTTTGTCTTTCACACATCGCACGTGCAATTTCACAACTGATAAGCATTTTCTTTCTCGCAAGATACAATTTTAGACTCCAAATCTAATAAATCAAATCAAATAAATCCAAATTTATCGGCGAAGTCGGCATACGTTGTTCATTTTGACAACCACTAACAATCGGAACAGCCCCAAGATTGCTTCTGGAAGTCGGTCAGAACACTTGAAAGGGCTTTAAGATTGCACAGATAAGAGTCTACAGGACATTTGTTTTTACACATTCTTGCTGACAATGCATTGCTATTCATGTACATATGTCTATGTGAGTGAGTGAGTGAGTGAGTGAGTATGGTTTTACGCCGCTTTTAGCAATATTCCAGCAATATCACGGCGGGGGACACCAGAAATGGGCATTGTACCCATGTCGGGAATCGAACCCGGGTCTTCGGCGTGACGAGCGAACGCTTTAACCACTAGGCTACCCGACCGCCCTACATGTCTATGTGGTAAATGAGACCACTATGAACACCGCGATACGAACTTCATGGAGTTTTGGAATCCTACATAAAAGAAGAGTGAGTGAGTGAGTTAAAGTTTAATTTCACATCGGCAATATAAAAACAGGCTATAGATCACCACGGTAGGGTCCATGGCGCACTTTTGCTACCTGCATGGACCCAGATCCAAGAAGAATAAATGTCTACATGTCTTCAGATTTTTTAGATCCAACTAAAGTTGATAGTACCGACGCAGTTTGGGCACTTGTCTCCCTCACAGTTGTCTTTACACTGGTCTTAACAAGTTCTGCCCCCCCCCCCCCCCCCCCCCTCCCCCCCCCCCTCCTATTAATCTGTTCTGCTTATTTATAATGATTATGTAATTTTAGGCCTTGTTAGTGGGAAAAGTAGGTCAGCCATGCATTGGATGACAGCTGTCTGGAACAGAATGGGTGAGTTCCAGTAATGTATATTCTGTTTCAGTGTGTGCATTCTACCAATGACAACATGGCACACATACTTAACCTACACCCAAAGATATTAGGGGCGGTCGGGTAGCCAAGTGGTTAAAGCGTTCGCTCGTCACGCCGAAGATCCGGGTTCGACGTGATGTTGCTGGAATATTACTAAAAGCGGCGTAAAACCATACTCACTCACTCACTCACTCAAAGATATTAACCGGATCCTGTACTCTTTTTGCCCATTATTTAGTATACGATTCGACAGCATCCATAATAATTTTAAGGTTGTGTAGCTGGCCGATATTTGAATAACTGACGAAGGTCGATATTGTCAAAGATAGAGACATCACCTGCAACTTTATTATGCCTCAAAGCGAGATTGACTAGTCAGAGAGCAGCACTACTGACCCCCACATGAGCCCGTAAACTGTCAGTAAAAATCAAAATTCCAATCCACAATATCATTAATTGTGATGAGCAAAGACATTTTTTATTAAAGAAACCACGTTCGTGACTTTATTATTATTAAAAAAAAAAGGTCACCGACTTACAAATAGCATCGTCATAGAATATACTGTATGATGACGTCACAAACAAGTAACGTGACGCCAATGACGTCACATAGCAATGGAATAGATAGCAGCCCGTCGTTTAGGGAAAGCGGACAGCTATCAAGTTTCAGTGGCCCGTAGATTTCTGTTAACATGCGGGCATTTGTATGATACTTCTATCCATTTTAGCTATAGTACTTCAACAATATCGAGCAGGGCTCACGCCATGCCCAATATTTTCCTGCTAACCTAACATGACACCGTATACGGCATCTAAAGACACCACAACTAATAATATGACCAACACTAGTCATACCACACACACACACGCACACATACACTCACACGCACACACACGCACGCATGCACACACACACACGCACACACACACACTCACACACGCACGCACGCACACACACACTCACATGTACACACTTGCGCACGCACGCACGCACACACACTCACTCACACACGCACGCACGCACGCACACTAGGGCACGCACGCACGCACACACACTCACACGCACACACTCACACACACTCACGCACGCACGCACACACACACGCGCACATACACACGCGCACGCACACACACTCACACTCGCACACACGCACACACACACGCGCACGCACGCACGCACGCACTCACACACGCATGCACAGAAGCACGCACACACACGCACGCACGCACACACACACTCACACGCACACACTCACTCACACACGCTCACACACGCACGCACACACACACACACGCGCGCACGCGCGCACGCACGCACACACACTCACACGCACACACTCACACACACTCACACACACACACACACTGGTAACACGTAGTAGTCTAATATAATTACTGAAGCTTGTCGGATGGATGCACTTACATTTTCAAAGAAATGGTCATTCAGATCTCGGTTCAGCCAACGTCCAGATGGAGTTCCAAGAGACTTACAATGGGAGATCAGATTGAGTCGGTCCAGCCCATTATGCTTGTTCCATCTGTCAGATTCGTAATGAACTCGTCCGCCCTGGGAAAGCCATTGGTTGTAGATGGTGACAGTGGTGTCGGAAAGGACGGTGTGTCCCAGCAACAGGATGTACACTGCCAGTCCCGGGGATAACATTGTCAGAATTCTAATAGTTCTATATCAGACCTATTTATATACTGCAATATTTATGTGAAAACGACCACATGTTAGCCTGTCCCAACACATGGTTAAATGTTATCACGGATTGCAAGTTGTTTTATGCCACTGAGATAACATGCAGCTTGTTTGACCCATTATAATGAGTGAGTGAGTGAGTGAGTATGGTTTTACGCCACTTTTAGCAATATTCCAGCAATATCACGGCGGGGACACCAGAAATGGGCTTCACACATTGTACCCATGTCGGGAATCGCACTTGGGTCTTCGGCGTAACGAGCGAACGCTTTAACCACTAGGCTACCCGACCGCGACCCTTTTATAATGACTCGGATTGGTTGAGAAAAGATATTGCTGTAAAAGTTAGATGACAAGATAATCTTTATTTTGTTTACCATATTAGACATCCATATAGAGAGTGAGTGACTGTGAGTGAGTTGGGTTTAACGCCGCTTTTAACAGTATTCCAGTTATATCACGGCGTGTCAGCTATATGTGGGAGGAAAACCCGAAATGATGCAGGTCTCAGACGTTTACCACTTCGGTTAAACCCACGAGCACGGCTATAGTGCTGACCAACCTAGAAACAAAATCGGGGCGAACCGGGATTCGAACCCACAATCATAGGTTTCTGGCGTGCCCAAGGGACGCAACTCTGCACAGCGAATCGCGGCGCCTTGGACGACTGGGCCGCCCGTGCCCTATACAAACCTATGAACTTACATGTGTATCCTGCTCGTAAGGGGTGACTTAATGGACCGAGAGGTCAGGCCCGTTTATCACAAGGTTGATCGCGTGTCATCGTTCCCTGAGGGCGTGAATCGGTGCTCACAATATGTATCCAGACTCGAATATGTACAGACCGCCATGCGTCGTTACACAAACAAACAAAGAAACAAATAAAACAAATAAATAAACAAACAAATAAACAAACACATGATTATGTTTCTTGAATTACTGATCTTAGAGGAAAATGCATATCCATGTGGTACCCCTTCATATGTTTAATAATGACTAGACACCTTCAGGTTATCTTTTCTGCTCATGAGAGATAGACCATCCTTGATTTTCAACCTATGTAATTGGATAACTTTGTTTGTTTGTTGTTTAACGCAGCACTCAGCAATATTTCAGCTATATGACGGCGGTCTGACATCATGAGCATTGATCTAAGCATAGTCGCCTTTTATGGCAAGCATGGGTTGTTGAAGACCAATTCTACCCCCTATCTTCACGGGTAACTAAAAACGTCCTTTGGATAGTAAGCAGGCTAGAATATGAAAATATGACTTCATAGTTTTTATCTATTTCGGTGAATAGTTAAATATTACTTCTCCCCATCAAGTTTGTCTCCAATCGATTACATAAACAGACAACACTATCGGATGGTGGCATAAGCAACGATTCAGGTCATTCTTGGCAGTTCTTGAGAAGTCGGCAGGTTAAGCAAAATTAGAAATTGCCGTCCATTTCGGATAGCACTTCTGGTTGGTTGGTTGGTTTGTTGTTTAACGCCGCACTCAGCAATATTCCAGCTATATGACGGTGGTCTGTAAATAATCGAGTCTGGACCAGACAATCCAGTGATTGATATCATGAGCATCGATCCACGCAATTCGGATCGATGACATGCATCAACCAAGTCAGCGAGTCTGACCACCCGATCCCGTTAGTCGCCTTTTACGACAAGCGTAGTTACCTTTTACGGCAAGCTGGGTTGCTGAAGACCTATTCTACCCCGGATCTTCACGGGTCTGGCACTTACGGCATGAAATAGGCACTAACGAAAAGGCTCAAAGTCGGAGTCTATATCTGTATTTATGATGAAGCTGAGTTGAGTGGGGACCATGGACACGTGCCCTGCCGTGTGGTTTATTCGTATCTTCTTGATAAGGGCACACGAAGCTTATCTGTGAACCCTGAAAAGACTGACAAGTCGTGACAACAGCTACACCTTGTATGTCAATATGTGTAACTCTGCATGCAATTCACATGCTATCAAATATTCGGTACATGTAGAAGGGGGTGGGTGGGTGTGTGTGTGTGTGTGTGTGTGTGTGTGTGTGTGTGTGTGTGTGTGTGTGTGTGTGTGTGTGTGTGTGTGTGTGTGTGTGTGTGTGTGTGTGTGTGTAATAATACCGCCAATGGAAGTACTCCTTTTTGGAATTCAATATATAAATACTACTCAAGAGAAGTTAAACAACACCCTATTCGTCGACATTACTTTATTAAACATGTAAAAAGGCCTACAGTACATTACGTTCAATTTAAGACGAAAACAAGTCGTGACAACAGCTACACCTTGTATGTCAAAATGTGTAACTCACATGCTATCAGATATTCGGTACATGTAGAAGGTGGGTGTGTGTTTGTGTAATAATACCGATAATGGAAGTACTCAATTTTGGAATTTAATACATAAATACTACTCAAAAGAAGTTAAACAACACCCTATTCGTTCCCATTACTTTAACAAATATGTAAAAAGGCCACAGTACATTACGTTCAAATTAAGACGAAAACGTTAAAATATGTGCACCCTAATATATATGTAGTACAGGTAATAAGCATGATATTAGTTCTTAAAGGAACTCTTACGAAATATACGATACAATTATAAAAATAGCTTAAATAGGAGGGGGTACGGTTGGCCCAGTCGCCTCAATTCGCTGTGCAGAGTTATGTCCCTTGGACAAGGACATGATGGTGGGTTTGAAACCCGGGTCACCCCGATTATTTTTCTAGGTTTGCAATGCACAATACCTACCAAAGATGAAACCGTCTGAGACCTGCATCACTTCGAGCTCCCACATTAAATTGTGACGCCGTAATATGACTGGAATACTGTTAAAGGCGGCGTTGAACTCATACGCAAAAGTGTTCTAGGCAAGATGTGTACCATCTATTCTGAAATCAAGCAGTGTTTCAAATTGGAAACAATTGTGTCCGCATTATACAGACAGTTGGCCAATATATTCTTACCTATATGCCTAGCCCCGATCACCCAACAATGATGATGATGCCACCATCTTCAGAGCACCTTCAGAATACAGAATCTTCTCGTGGTTGCCGTAGGTCACGTGTCTCAAAGACAAACAACCACTTTTGGTGAGACCTCGTCGGACGCGAACTAGCGACAATTGCATCGTCAACCCGACAGGTAACCGACTGAGCTACGTCCTTCCACACTGTGAAACCGACCTCTGTACCCTTTGGTTTTTTTTCACCTTTTGTTATATTATTAATTTTGTTGTCCTTACATGTACATAGATATGCTCTCTGCCTCATGGCATTCATTCACCTGATGAAGGAGTAAGCATATAGTCCGAAACGTTTTTTTCTTCAAAATAAAGAAGTATACATCCATATATTCTCTTCCTCATGTGCAACACTTCTAAATGCCATTCAAAAATTCAGAGTATATTACTTATCTATGATCACATTAGTGTTGGCTTCCACTGTCAGTTGCTAATCACCTATCAGGGCCAATCATCTGTTTCTTATCAGCTGAATATTCTCATATGTTTGGGAAGCAAATGTATTATGCGAGCGTGATGTATGTAATATGTATTCCTATTATATAATATTTACCATACGGAGAGACAAGAACGTAATCATTTCTTTATGTTAACATTAACGTGCCGAAAATAAATGAATGATATACATATCGATATTCACTTCAGTAACGTTGGAAAGCGCGTAGCAATATAAAAAAAACACACCTGTGTGGACCGCCTTATTTATGAAATAGTGTCAACCAAGTTGCCATATTTCGACCAAGTTTGTTGGCATAATCACTCACACATCGGGAGACCGCTATCTAATGGCCCAGGGAATGCACTTTTGTAAGCTAGAAAACACCACATCGTTGTACAGAGCTTACTAAAAGGGGGACCTGCCAAGTGGCTTAATTGTCATGTCTATCTGATCGAAATACCAAGTTTATTGGATTTGTTTATCACAGCAATAACACTAACCATTTTATGATAAATCTATTCCTGATGGCTTCAGTATATTGTATCTTTCACCCCACTAACATACTTATTTGTTTCCTCTAACAAACTTTCACCTGCTCCTCGCAAATCATACCTCATATGTGATTTGAATCAAAACAAACAAAATATTTGTTAGGGGAATTTTATTTACTGAAGTTTTCCAGCAACAAGTGCGACGGATGTCACGTAGCCACCGTTCCCATCATAGGTCATGCTGACGGTGTTTGTTGTTTTCATCTGTGATGCAGGGACCATGAACACCCAAACGTTCCATTTTGTTTGCCCTTCCGTCTTCATAGCATCAAACAGCATGTAGCTTGTAGACAGCGTGTGGCCATTGAAAACAATACTACGAGGTTTTGCATTGGCATTCTTGTCTCGGCTAGCTCCCACTCTAAGATAAGATGTATGGTAGCCAGAGCTGGGTAGATGGATGGTGGTCTGCGCATGTCCGTTGCTGATGGGGATGAGCATGTCCTTGCCATAGTATGTGATCTCGCCTCGTTGATGCCAAAGTAACTGTGACTTCCACCCGATATACGCAGATAGTTGTAGGAGTGGAAAGAGAAAAAGTCCAAGTGATCAAGAGACATGTCCAGAAACTTAGCAGTTTTCTTCCAGAAGGCGAAGTTATTTTCATCTGCTCGTCGTAAGGCCATGCTAGTGTACGATGGTCCCGCAATTTTCATTCCAAATCTTGACTTCAGCTTGTCGGCGACGGCCCTGTGGAAATCTACATTCGTTTGTGGGTCAATTATCTTTTCAATCCCATCAGGTTCATTGATGACTTCAAACATGTAGGGAAGTCGCCCGCCTGAGTAGTCCTTGGCACTCTGAACCATCAGCGACACAAATTCTGACGCAGCGTCAACGTTGTTGGGGAATTTACCTTGATGATGAGACTTATCTATCCAGCTGGGCCAGTGCTGACCTGTAAAGGAGGAACATAAACAATAAGATAATAACTCAAACATACTCCTCCATGTTTGACTAGTATGTGTGTGGATAGATGAAGTTGTATACATTTAACACTGTTGGGGCAATAACAGATTATAGGTATTCTGATGACAGGGTTATTAGGAGCGAAATCGGATTGGCACCAATAACCAATAGAACAGTAAGTAAAGGCTAAAGGACTATGACACATATTCTACATCTGTTTTGTCATCAGGTAACATTAAAAAAGCTACAGTACTCTTTTTACATCTTCTTAAAAAGAGTTGATGACTCATGATACCTTCTATGTTCCAGACCATGTTGTCAATATAGTTCCCATATTCTTTCAATTGTTGCATATACCACACCCATGTCTTTGACTGGAGTGCATGGTCCTGGAGATAGGTGGGGTCTGGGTAACCATGGCGACTATGGCTTTGGGGCCACTGCATAAAATAAAATAAGATAGTATGGATGTGCAAGTTCCTTAATGAGGAAGAAGAAATACTTGCATGACGTCTAATATAATTTTTTTCAACGTTCAACGACAGTATTGTCGAAAAAACTTTTTTTGGGAAAGGATATTCATTAGGAGATTAACTAATAGAGAATTATTGTGTTGTGATACATTTAGGTAGCTGAACTGCAGTACTAACATGCATATGTAATATTGAACAATACTAGTATACAACCTTGATGAAGATTCCAACATACCTTATTTGATACTTTTGATAGAACTTGTTTGTGCTATATGTGCTTTTTGTAAGGCTATCAGACTTTGCAAACACATCTCAACACCAAATAGTTATTTATGTTACTATTCTAAAAAAAACTACATCGATTGAATGAATATGCAAAAACATGTTCCATCGCCTAACCTATAGTCCGGCGATTTATCATTTGTGTTTAAGTGTATTCCTTGCATAACTTTTCTTTTAAATGAACATTGTGAAAAACATCCCATGCTCTACCCCATCATTTTATATGTCCTCTGGTGAGAAATATAGTGTTGTACTTCATTTCAAAACATTTTATACTTTGATATATTCGTGCAGTGATACATGCCTGATCTCATGTTATTGCTCCTGTTACCATGTATCAATGAGCGCAGGTACAGACTTGACGGACCAAGGGTAGTTGGTGTGGAATTTGGCCAAGTGGTCCCATAGAGCGACCTTCCGTTTTTAAATCCAATGTGCTTCCAAGTTGCAAATGAATTCTACTGTGTCTATCTATATGAACATGGGACTTAAAAAACATGCATCTAGTCGTAAGTATGAGCTGCGATATGCGCCGTTAGCATACATAGATACATCATTCCACACACTTCAAATGCCTCATTCAATGTTGATAGGAACACGGCTCCTTCCAATATACCCATCAAAGCATGGATTCTGTAGACATACTCAGACATTGAAATCATGCATGAATCATGTCAATTCCTAAAATCTTTTCTTGAAAGATGCGTTTTACTTCATACGTACATTTGGAAAGAGAGTCAGGTCTCTGTTCACCCAACGACCGGGAGCCGCTCCAATAGATTTAATCTTTGGAATAAGGTTCAATTGCGTGAGGCCATTAATTTTGTTCCATCTTTGAACTTCATAATGGACACGTCCACCCTGGGCGAGCCACTCGTTGTAGATTGTGACGGTTGTGTCAGAGAACGCGGTTCCCAACAGCAGCAAGGTGCAAAGAACCAGTGGTAACATCTTGCACTGGAATTATCCTCCTTCTGTTAACCAGTGTTGACTTTTAAATGTTTGAATCAAAGCTGTAATCTGCATGTGAAAGAAACATTTGGCAGCTGTCAGGTGACCGAGAAAACATATTTGATATAAGAGGTGAGGTGAGGTGAAATTTGGTTTAACGTCGTGTCCAAGACTATTACACTTATACACTTATATGTGTGGCTGCTTGTACCAGTCCGGACTGATGCCGATTTATAGTGCTAGCCCACTGAAATACCATGCAGCAGTTTAACATGAATACCCCACTCAGACACAGTATACTGACCCCGAGCCGACCAGTCCTTGTTTTGGCCCCTTAATGCCTAGCGCCAGACAGGGTAAGAACAAGTACCTTTTAACGTCTTTTGGTATGACGCGTCCGTGGATCGAACCCCGGACCTTCCGCTCTCCGGGCGGACGCTCTATCTCTAGACCACGGAGGCGGTCTTGATATAAGAGTAAAGAAAGTAAATGATAAGGAAATGTGTGTCAGACTCAACAGAGTTCCTCTCTGCGTTTCTGTAGTATTCAAACGCTAAGCATTTGGCAACCTGAAAGTTTGATGTTTACTTTATTCCAACTTGTAGAAGATGTGATGAATACATCATTTCCAAGGATATAACAAAAACATGTCATGTCATGAGGGTCATACTGTACCATTCCCTTGAAGTTCCGGGGTAGAATAGGTCTTCAGCAACCCATGCAGGCCGTAAAAGGCGACTATACTTGTCGTAAGGCTCGCTAACTTAGTTGATGCGTGTCATCGTAGCCAAACGTTCCCCTCTGCGTCGATAAACGTCATTTCGAAACAAGTTAAACCGACTTTCATCAGTAAACAGCAGTCGACGCCAACTGCTCACTTGCCAGCGTCGAACCTGCCTCGCCCATCGCAGTCTCAGGTGTCGATGTTGAGCAGTCAGTACCATTCCTCGGAAAGGACGATACGCTCGGATACCAGCAGCATGAAGTCGTCATAGTACTGTACGTTGGCTGATGGGATGTCCCAACGCTGTTGCTGCCGTCGCCGTCGCCGTTACGAATCTGTTTCGCAGGTGAATGAGCCGTATCTGACCGTCTTCCAGTGGTGTTTTCACTCGGAGTCGTCCGGTTCTAGGCATGTCCTGTGTCCTCCCTGTCTGCCTGTACCGTTGAATCCGCCTGGCAGTAGTCAATGGTGTACAACCAAACCTTCTGGCAATTTGGACCTGTGTTGCCCCCATTTCGGCCATACCGATGGTTCTCTCTCTCTCTGCTCCTGTTACAGTCCTGGCATTTCTTTGGTTATACCCTGCAGACGAACGCATTTTTACAGCTAACATGCACGTGCAGTTTATGCCATAGGCGGGAAACCTGTTTCACCATTTTTTTGTCACCGCACGAGCGCCGTCAAAGGTGGCGCGTTCGGGTGAGGTGTTTTTTGGTACCTATTCCTGGACAGTCATATTCCCAATACCCACTTTCCACTAGTTATATATCGCTGTTTTTAGGAAATTTACAAATTGCCAACCTATACTTTCTTTTTGCCGCTTAGTTTATTTGCCTGGGCCCAACTTGATTAAAGGCTGTTGTAAAGTTGTGATGTAAAGATTTTGATTAAAAGATGTGTTAACGTATCCAATATCTTTCTTGCAAAACTGAAGTACATGTAAGACAGCAAAGCTACGTTTCACTGAATTTCTTATAGTTAAAAACCACAAATACATTAAAATATATCAGTGTTCAAGTGTCATACAGAAGTTATAAGATCAACTGTGGATGGGATAGCAGAACTCTCAACAAAATATGTTTGACATGGAGAGAGTATGTGAATTATCACTTTTCGTTAAGAAATAAACGACTGGTCGTCTTGTTTATCGTACAATAAAACACTCGAGGGAGAATAAACCATGTGGGATGCATTTATGATATATCAACATTATTTACAGCCTCTTTAAGGGTGAGTATAACAAAATATTTACCCGTATTTAAATAATGATGACTGCCTCAAAAGAATCCGACCTCGACAGTGTCGGACAAGGCCAATTGCATAGGTGGGTATTTTTGCATATTCTCACAATCCTCACGTCAGTTACGTCTACCTTTTCTCCCAATTCGAATTGTCATATCTCTCCCGCTTTTGGGTGCGATCGTTCGGCCATCGCGTTCATCTACGTTGCCATGCGACTTCTACTCACTAGACACTCAATTCTCAAAAATAATGTTGCCCACTATACGACATCATCAAGCTGCGAGCGCATTTTCGAATCTCCAGAAATAACGTCATGGCAGGACAATATTTTATCGTGAAATAAACCACGCTTCTTTCATTGTTCTTTGCGATTTATCGCGTGGCTATCTCGCAAACATCATAGTATTGAGGATCAGATAATCAGATAATCAGTAATAAACAAACATGTCCAAGCATCGTCACAATATTCATCGCCACATTCATTTATTCCATAGGCATGATTTTGGTATCTGAGTGAGTGAGTGAGTTAAAATGTTAAGTCACATCGGCAATATTTCAGCCATATCGTGACTATCAAGGGTTGAATATAATAAATACTATTAAACTTATAATAAAAAACTGCCAACGAAGGACAGTATAAACACTAGATTTATCACAGAAAAAGATATAAAACTAGTATGGCATCATAAGAAAGAGAACTATACATTACAATAACATGATAAAAACGGGCTATAGATCGCCAGCCACCGGAGGTAGATCACCACACTGGGGACCTTTTTGGTATCTGATGCAAGGGACATAGATTGAAGAGATATTTAAGTGAATGGAAATTTAGTGAGTGGGTGAACATGGAAAAATAACTTGCTTGAAAGGAGCCTGTGTAAGTTTAATATTATTATTCTTTCGTTTCTCATCGACGAACAAATATAATAAATGTAAGGAGATATCACTGAATCGTATGAAAGTATAAGTTTTAAATGTTACGAGATCGAACCCCGTCAGTATTTTATAATTTACCTGAAGACTTGAACACTCCTGTGTTGTATTATAATAAGATAATATGACCAAACAAATGATCTGATAACTCCTGCCTATATCATCCTAAAAGGGCCAGGTATTAATATTTACACTTCAATAAAAGTGACAAAATCATTTACATAATTCTAATATAACACGTCAACAAACCAACCAACAAACAAACAGTTGAAGGCAAACAAGTTATGTTTTTCGAAATGTTAGAGTGTTATGTATATACCGTACCACTCATGACGTACATGGCCACTGAAATGAAATAACATTTAAATGTCTTATAAAAAAAAGGCGTGATTTCCAATTGCAAAATTTTCTTTCATTGATATCTCGAAACCATTCTGTCTGTTTCATGAGACTTGAAACCAACCTGCATTGCACATTGTGTAGAATTACACGACTCTCCGCTATTACAAAGTAAAGATGATAATGTAATCGGTTTGTCGCTATACCACGATCCTACAAGATTAAAGGACATAAATATGACCAGTTGAGATTGTTTTCCTTCATCTAAATATGTCAAGGACACTATTATCACAGAAAAAGATTTTAATATATTAGTGAGTAAGTGAGTGAGTGAGTAGTGAGTGAGTGAGTGAGTGAGTGAGTGAGTGAGTGAGTGAGTGAGTGAGTGAGTTGGGTTTAACCCCGCTTTTAACAGTATTCCAGTTATATCACGGCGTGTCAGCTTAATGTGGGAGGAAATCCCGAAGTGATGCAGGTCTCAGAAACCCACGAGCACGGGTATGGTGCTTGACAAAGCTAGAATATATAATATAATCGGGGCGAACCAATCATAGGTTTCTGGCGTGCCCAAGGAACTTAACTCTGCACAGCGAATCGCGGCGCCTTAGCCGACTGGGCCACCCATGCGACCTTTTGATATATTAAGAAGTTAAAACGATTTGTAGATCTCATGAAACACATAAAATGTATTCCACAGCAATAATTGATTTTAGCAATAAGTCGACAAACTCACTTTAATAATAAGAAATATCTTCTAGAAACGTACTTCATTGCCCGACAATGAGTATGGCTTTAACATGTGTTTAAGAATCACTATGAAATAGTGATGGTACCAGGTATTTGCGAAAAGGTCAGCGTATCCTGCCACACCGGTGGTACATGTCACAAACACATGCAAAGGCAAGTGAACTGCTCACTTGAGGAAGAACACGGAACGCATGACGCAAAACAATAGCATCGGACATACGTTTTTATTACTGATGCATTAAATTTGGAAATATCCTCCACATGTCTGTCATTAAACATTTTGGATGTTTTACTGAGGCCCCCAATTGTACCTCAACAGTTGTCGATGTAGACACCAAGGGCTGATGTTGTTGGACAAAAATCGACGTAAAGGGAAAGGTGACTAAATGAAAGTTGAAGTCATCCCTGTTGTTAATTCGTATGCATAAAGCTAAATATGAAACAGATGTAGCTATTTCACCGGTCTCTTCTATTTCTAGTTCATGTAGGTAAATCAGTAGAAGGGAGTTGGCTATCTGGCTATTATTGAACGACATGTGATCTTCGATATAACTGAAACTTAACTTCATTTTATTGGCCATATTCTCTTTGACATGACAATCTTAGCAGAAATTCTGATTCATATAAAACAAGAAAAATGCCAGCAAGAAGAGGAACACAATGTGTGTGCATGGGGATGCACACTTCCTGTCTGAATGTGTTATCCAAGAATTTCACAGATATGTCCAACATTTGACAAATTGTTTTTGCAATAAACTTTAGACAACATTTGTTTTCATTTTTGACAAATTGTTATGAACTTTATAAGACAGAGGTTACTACATCTATGGTCACCACGTTTAGTGACAAATGCCCCGAGGATCAAGGACTGAGGTTTTTAATCGCGTTTGCCGTGGTGGTGCATGTGTAAGAGGTGTACAAAGTTGACAAATTTAATTATGTGGCATAATTGAACTTGAACAAAAGGAAATCCTTTGAGTTGTTGAAAATATGCATGGTATTGAATCCATTGTCTCAATTAGAATAAGTTAATATATAGCAACTCGTGCTTTGATTTTCTTTAGAATTGTGGTGAAGGGGTGGCAC